ACATATACACACACACACACACACACACACACACACACACACATATACATTAATAATCAACTTAAGGCTGTATGGAACAGAAGCAAGCAAGTTATCCTAAGCACCTACATAGACATTCCATTGTAAGTTTGCGTGATCTGCTACCCCATCCATCACCTATGTTGCCTTCCATAATAGTTGTGAAGCAACATGGCACCTCACAGGAACAGTCTGGACTTTCAAGAGATGGCATGTCTGCCTCAGGAAGCAAATCTGGGCTTTCCTGAAAGGGAAGCAACTCGCCAAGATTGTGGAGAACTACATGAGGGGATTCTCTTGTGTCAGAATTTCTTTGCTGTCTTAAGATAGGGTGCAACCTGACCTGGGGCATAGGATGCATGTGTGAAAGGAGGAATGCTCCTTACTACTTTGCTCACGCAGCATGTCCATCTTGGCACATGAGCAAAACAGTACATGCAATTTTCTCGACTAGGAAAGAATGGTATCCCTTCCTCGTTTTGAACATTATGTTGGAATTAGATAAGGAAATAAAGAGATCCCATTTGCCTTTGTCTGTTCCTCAACACATTTTTCCCTATGTCAGTCAGGGAGAACATAGAAGATATTCTCCTATCAACCCCAATCACTGACTTTTCTGGCTGGGTATAATGAGAGTTGTAGCCCATCAGTTTCTGTGGTGCACAGACACTTCCTAACCATACCACGTTCTTTTCAATTTAGATATTAAGACAAGATATGCATCTTACTGATATCATAGTTTTATGTCTTAGACATGTATCTTATCGCTCTAATTGTGTGTGTGGTGGTGGGGGTGGGGATGCTGTTCCATGATGGGAAGGTACACATGGGAAAAAAAAGCTACAAGAGATCTTAACATATATTACCTTTGATTACTACTATTACTTCATTACTATACTACAGCTGTAATCCTACACGTAGTCCTCTGAAAGTAAGTCCAAACAGACTTGGTGGGATTGACTTCAGAACATAAGCTATAAGACTGCACCATACAGGTAGTCCTCGACCTATGACCATTATTGAGCCCAACATTTCTGTTGCTAAGTGAAAGAGTTGTTAAGTGAGTTTTGCCCTGCTTATATCTTTCTCGCCACTTGTTAAGTGATTCACTGTAGTTGTTAAGTTAGTAACACAGTTAAGTGAATCTTTCTTTCCCACTGATTTTGCTTGTAAAAAGTGATCTCATGACCCCCCCCCCAATTTGAATTTTGATCTCATGACCATGGGGATGCTGCAATGATCGTTAGTGTGAAACACAGTCATAAGTCACTTTTTTTAACGCTGTTATAAACTTTGATGGTCACTAAATGAACTGTTGTAACTCGAGGACTACCTGTAGTTTCACAAGAACTTGATTTTGTTTTATTTGAAAGGACAAAACAAAACTAAAGCTCATCTTGCAAGGAGCTAAGGCGAATAAAGGAATATTTTCAAGGTCAATAAAACAAAATAGGTTGATGCAGACACTATTAGGCAGAAATCTCAACTGCCTAATTGTTCTGTATCAACGGTTATTAATTAACTAAGGGACCGAACAGCGATAAGGAAGCAAAAATCCCATTTTCATATTTTTGTTGAGGTACAGCCTCCTCATAGTAATTTGTTTCCCAAATCAATTGTATATGCTAAAAATATCTTTTCCAGTGTATCTGCACACAATGTGTTTAAGTATACTGTCAAAAGCTGTACTTTTCAGTAATTCACGCCTGCATTTTCAGTATCAGCTCTTGTCACATGAAGTTCACTCTTACTTTGCGCTGGGAAAGTCACAGCACATCAAGAATGGAAATTACAAACTTTGAGGATTCCATCGGGTAGGAAAAGACGATGAATTGTCTTACTATTATGGCATAGATGGGAAAGAGTTTAGCTTCTAATTGGATTGTAACTTAAAAAGCAGTTAGTAGGAAAAAGTTAACAGGCAAAGAAGATACTGCAATGGATTTTACAGTTCCCTCCAAAAGAGACTGTTTCTCCAGGACAATGAGCCAAGCAGAATCCTGGAAACCATCTTTTTCAATGAAGGCTCACAGTCTAGATTGAAGAAAACATGGGATCTGATTCTGAAACAAAATAAGATCATTCTTGCAACATTTAATAGCCATGCCTTCTCCACTGAGAGTTGATTGTAGATTGGGATAAGGGTCATGGATCTATGCAAATCTTCAATAACTCTTTAATTATGAAATTATGAATGGCATAAAGTGGACAAGGAAAAGCTATTCTCCTCTTCCCAAAATACTAGAACCAAATTGAATACATTGGAAGAATTAGGACTGACCCAAGAACTTTTTTTTTAAACACAACCTGTGATTACATTTTGGAATTCAGTACCATGAGATGTGGTGCTAGCTACCAGCTTGGCTGGCTTAAAAAAAAAAAGGTTGGATCAATTCATGGAGGTCTTGGGGATCAAGGAATTGATGGCAGTGTGACCTCCCTGAATCTGCTGGGAGACAAATGAGCTTCCTTATGTAGTAGGTTGGCCAGAGAATATTCTGCTGGACTAGATGGGGCATGGGGTCTGATCTAGCAGGGCACGGCTTATATTCTTAACTATAATTTTAAAAAGACTCTGTAGGAAACGCCTTTTATCAAAAGGCCTTAAAGACTTCTTTTAAACACATTCTAGTTAAAGAGAAGAAACATTAGAAAGTAGGATGAGGACTGAAGTGCTGATGGAAAGAGGTTAAAAGTTGCTCATGACATCTGCTGTTCTGTTATTTGTAGAACAGCCCTACTTTTGACTGTGGGAATCAATTCTAACTGAGTGAACGAAACAGTTTGTAAGGAAATCTATGCTTTAAAACCAACAATTCCACTGTGATTCACTATTAGACCTCACATTTATAGTATTCGGACATATTCTGGTGACTGATATAATTAAAAATATCATATGTAGAAAGGACACAAGCAATTTAAGCTGTTTGGTTTACGTGGAGGACAGCTGCTTGATTGGATTCTTCAGAATATTCCATTTCTTCACTGATTGGCTTGTTTCTTTCCTCATAAAGTTCTTGTCTGATTTCTAATGAAGCTCTATAATCATCTTCTTCAACAATTGCAAGCTCAATGTTGTTGTTGATCACCACCTCTCCTTCACTTCCCGACTCTTTTTCCAAGGAATCAACAAAGGCTTTTCCTTCTTCTGCTGGAGAAGAAGAACAGATTGGATCTGAAGTGAGGGTGCCCTCTTCACTGGCGGCATGCTTACTGCCAGGTGCTTCCCCTGGCTTATCTTCTACTTCTATGGATGTGTCTCCATCATGGACTTTCTTCACGTTGAATGTCAGGGGAGAGACCTTGAAAGACGAGCTTTTTGATGAAGAAGACTTCTGATGGTTAGGAGTAAAAGACTTCTTGATCTTCTCTCTCCGCTCAGGCGAGACAATCTTGGTGCCGATCTTGTTCATCTTCTTTTCAATGTTTTGGCGGGAAAATGCTTTCTTCAGGCTGTCAACCTTTTTAAGGCTGGATCTCTTGATTTTCTCAGCTCTGGACTCCTCTATTTTCTCATCCATGCTGTCTTCTGCAAGGTCATCATGGGGCAACTCATCCTCTGAGGATAATTCCACAGTGTGCAAGGTTTCTTCCAAGGTTTTGTTCTCATCGACAGGCTCTTCCTTCCCATCAGTAATACTGGGAACAGGCTCTTTCACAAATACGCTGGCAGGGATTTCATTTTCTTCCTGTAAAGAGTTGATATGTGTTTATTCAAGCTTCACAAGACACAGACTTGATAAACAAGGCACAGCCCTGAATAACATCAATATTTTTTCTTTGGGATAATGAGGTAAAGGAAGTTGCTTTTGTGCCATAGTATATTCAACCAGTAACAATCACTTACTTCCTATGGAATTGTTCTTTCATACTGCGTAAAAGTAATGAGTTTATGAGCTGTCATCTACTATTAGAATAAAATACATTTTAGTCAACATTGCTATTAGAGACTAGTGCTGCTGTAATCGTGCCAACATCTTAACATCATTAAAAACAGGATGCAGGATCACTTCCAATTTCCCTATCATCCCTTCTCTTCTGGAACAGAAATCCACTCCTGTTAGGTTCAACTTCAATCAACAATACATCAATATAAATGTTAAACAGTTACCCATAATTCCTTGCTTGGTGCAGGATATGAAATGAACAGATGTGGTTGGTGGACATGAGTTAAACACTTGGGAACATTGTTTTCCCTGGCCACAATTTATTCTCTCAGTACTGGATCCAACTTACTCTTCTGATATGGATTCAGGATTACTTTTCTATCACGGCATTACTCCACAAAGAAATAATTCAGGATGGTACAAATTGCTCTTTATTTTTGCTTCTGCAACAGATGTAGCACTGACTTGTCAGATTGAGTGTCAGAACTTCGAACTTGCTAAAATAAGTGCATTTTTTGACCTGAGAAGTATACCCTTTACTTTGAGGTATGTGGGCTTCTGGCAAGTGAATTTCCTTATGTATTTTTTCAGATTAACGGGTTTTTCCTTCCCATGCCAGCATCATTGCAAAAAGATTGCAAACAGAACTTAGACCTTGAAACTAATTATAAGAAGTTATACATATGATTTTTACAAAGATAAAACATTGACCTATCAGAACATCAATATTATGCATGGAACTTTCTCCAATTCTGACTCCTTAATTATACTGGACTACAACTTTCTATCTAGCAATGGGCTGCATCAACATGTGGTATTGATGGTGACAGCCATCAAGGATTGAAATTGCCCCCCTGAATAATACGTTGCATACATATCTGGAAGGTACCATCTTCTATATACCCATCCATCATCCACATGTCTCTGTTGAACAACGACCAAAAAGAATACCAACATCATTTTTGAATATGTGTAGATCTCTAGGAGAGCAGTCCCAACCCTTTTTGTATCAGGACCGGTTTTGGGGAAACAATTTTTCTTCAGACAAGCGGTGGCTGCATGGGGGGAATGGTTTCTTATGCTACCTAGATCCTGTGTAGGCTCAGATAAAGCTTCACTCACTTGCAGGGCCCAGTTCCTAATAGGCTGCAGACCGGTACCAATTTGTGGCCCATGGGCTGGGAAAAAATTATAGGGGTAGGCCAATGCTATTTCTCTCTTTTCACCCACTTGTCAATTATTACTATTGTTTTACTTTTAATACTGATGGTGCTTTTTTGTATTTTGCAATTCTGTATGTGGCTAATCAATGGCCATAAACAAAGTTTTCCTTTACTTATTATTAGAACTGAAATAGTCTATCCTCAATAATTTAAAGAGGAAGGAAGATAAGCACCATATGAATTTGACCTTCAAACATTTGCATTATCTTCTAATTTTTGCCACATTTGATACAATAAAACTGAGTACATTAACTTATTCTTTGTTTCTTGCTTTTTTTTTCTTTATAGTTTCAAGATGGAAAAAAAGGTGATTAACACTTTGTTGCTATAAGATCCTTGAAAATTATAAACTAGCAAATCACTGGCAGAAAACAATGGAATCAATTTAAGTTTAACAGTAATGGAACCTTGACATTAGGGCATGAACTACCTAGAATGCTCTTGTACATATATTGGGAGGGTCATGGATATTCCTGCCAAGATGTGAATATGGGAGTGGCATGTGTAACAATCCAGAACAGAACAAAAAATTCAAATATAAAACTTAAGTGCAATCACTGAATAATGATGAAGGATGGTTAAATTGCAAACTTTCATGAATCAGCTTCCTCAAATTTTCTCAATATTTTTATAGTGTTCTTATACATAAAGAGTTGAATTTATGGGGGTCTTTTTTAAACTAGCCTCTTGAGTGGAGAGTAGTATTCATTCCAAAGGCTTAATATTTCTATGAGAATATCCTTGGCTTTGGGAATGAATGTTTATGGAAGGAAAGACCCATCTAATAAAGTTGTCCACAGGACAGTTTAACATCATCTAATGTGCTTTAAATTGAATATTATAGAAGCAAAACCCCACCAAGGAACAAAATAATAATTAAACCAGTTCTGCAGTACAGATAAAACTCATAAAATGTTAAAAATGAAAGATGATACAGAATCGAAATGGGAGGAAGCTATTTTGAGCCTTGATATGTTTGGGAGGAGCTGTGACAAAATAGAATATAGGAAATAAAAGGTATATAATGGCTCTCCTCTTCTGCTTAGGAATTCAAGCACGGCAATCACATTTTTTTATTAAAATAAAATATATAACAAAGTATTCCATCTTTTGAATTTCCCTGCCACAAGAGAAGTTCAAAAGAGAGCTGGCTTTTACCAAGGACCATGGTATTAAAACTATGACACTGATTTGGAGAAAATCCTGCTACTTTTAAGGAAAAATGAAGCTATAGATGGAAAGAGATGACAAATGTGAAGAGGAAATGTACTTTCCCCAAAGCCACTGAAGGTAGGACAAGAAGCGATGGATGGAAACTAATCAAGGAGAGAACCACCTAAAACTAAGGAGAAATTTCCTGACGGAACAATCAATCAGTGGAATGACTTGCCTTCAGAAATTGTAGGTGCTCCATCACTGGAGGCTTCTAATAAGTAGAGACTGGACAACCATTTGTCTGAAATGGTATAGGTTTCCTGCTTGAGTAGGGGGTTGGACTAGAAGACCTCAAGGGTCCCTTCCAATTCTGTTATTCAGCAAAAGATAGCAGAAATAGTAGTAACGCTTCACTAGTATGGCATGAAAAGCAACGAGAGGTAGTCTTCAACTTATGACCACAATTGAGCCCAACATTTATGTTGCTAAGTGAGAAATTTGTTAATTTGCCCCATTTTATGATTTTTTTTGCCCCATTTGTTAAGTGAATGACTGTAGCTGTTAAATTAGTAACACAGTTGTTAAGTGAATCTGGTTTCCTTATTGGCTTTTGCTGTCAGGTCACAAAAGGGGATCACGTGACCCTGGGACACTGCAGCCGTCATAAATGTGAGTCAGTTGTGAAGACTGTAAATCACGTGACCATATGAATGATACAACAGTCATAAGTGAAAAATGATCATTTTTCAGTGCCATTGTAACTTTGAACAGACACTAAGTGAACTATTGTAAGTCGAGGACTACCTGTATAATTTCTGCAGTCCAATGAAGGAAATGCCAGGAAAGAAAAATATGCTAGGATTCTCCACCAAATAAATGGGCTACAAAAGAGCAACTGAACTTCTCATCTTGCTTGTCTGCCTTTATGAAAACCAAGTTCCACACGACATGTTACAGAAACCATCATATGAGCTAATAATAGTAGGCTTGCACAGCTTTGGAGCTTAGAATTTTCCAGCAAGTTCAGGGCTATTTTTGAAGTTGCTACCTGCATTATCTACTCATTCCTATACACTTCTGTCGCTCTCTTGGCTTCTGTTCATTTCGAGCCAGATAATGCTCACCAGATAAAACTCCCCCTTCATGTTGTTAGGAAAAGAACACGGGGAGAGAGAGAGTATCTTTTGACCTAGAACAAGATAGGTATGCCAAGCAAAATGTTGCAGTTACTTTATTCTGTTCCCTGGGAGAAACTAATCGCAAAATGCAGCAAGTTATAATGTTGCACTTGCCTGTTAGATAGTGCCGTTCCCTTGCCAAAAATGGTTTCTAGGAAGAAAGGTCACTGCCTCAGCTATCTCAGGGTGAGCATCTTGAATTTATTGCATTTTATGCTTGATTAAGCAATTGGGCCTTTTCAGATGAAGCTGGTGAAAATGCCAGGTCAGAATTTCCAATATTTGTGATACATTGTAAAAGATTTGGAACTTCTTTCATGAAATGCCATTTTTTCCCAAGTAAAGAAATATCACCTATTGTTCTGGGGAGTTGCTTTTCCCATAATTTGCTTGTTTCTTAAGCAACTTGCTGGGAAACAGGAATGTTTAGTTCTACTTTCGGAAGCAAGGGTTAATAAAGAAACAGAGGAACCAAAACACATTCATTCTGGCAGCCCTGGCACTGTTTTTGTTTGTCTTTTTATATTTATATTCATGAATTCAGAGCTATAAACACCTTTCTTGAAGAATCCCTGCTCTTCCCCCAGTCATATTCCTAGTGGATTGTAAAGAATTTTGAGAAAATTATTCTAGAAAGCTTACTCAATTACTACAGCTAAACCTGTGCTCCTTGCTTGCCATCCCAAGTGAGTTGAGAGTATGTCTAATATGCCCATGCATGAAGAATGCCTCTTGACATCATTGAAAAACTAAGATAAGTCTTCTAGAAAAGATGAATAACAATTCTGCTGAGCGGAACAGGGCTTTAGATCCAGGACATCTGAAAGGAACCATGCTGGGCAATTTTTCTGAATAGAAACTCCAGATCTTTCTGGAATGGGTTGAACAGTCTGACATTTTTACTATTTTTATTGGGGATTTATTGCAAAGCTGCAATTTCAGGAAAATGCATGTGTGCTCAAAAGGAGATGACAAGGGGATACAGCCTACTACCTCAGTAATGCCTTGAAGCAGTGGTGGTATTCAGCCAGTTTGCACCAGTTCAAGCGAACCGGTAGCAAGGATTTGGTGTGGGTCGCCGAACAGCTCGCTCGCCCCGCCCATCTGATGCTTGCTCACCCCACCCCGTCTAATGCTCGCCCGCCCAGTCACTCCTTAAGGTATTTCTTTTTCCCCCCTCCCAACAATCAGCTGTTCCTAAGATCAGCTATGCCGGGATTCCCCTCGCTTACTTACTGCTTTGCCC